TATCTCGATTATGTTCTTGTACATCCATTCTGTAATTACGAAGCTTTGTGGAATTTGTTCGGTAACGTTTTTATTTATAACTCCAGTAAAAATTGATGAACTGATCTGAAACTTGGCAGAGATTTCACTCGTAATAATAGGAAGATGCCCTGAAAATATCAAATTTTTATCTCGATTATTTTCTTGTACATCCACGGATCCTGAAATCTGTACAGGTTAGGTCTAGATGGCGCTCGTCGATATAATCCGCAGAAAGGAAAGCAAACGTGGAAACGAGTCACGCTCGCATCGCGATGACGTATAGAGACGGTTCGGGCTATCTGCGACTGGGAAAGCGACGGGCAAAATTAATTTCAGCTTGACGTACGACACCTCATAATATTGTCTCGTAACTCTCCGTCGCAATCAGGCTTATCGGACGCGCTCTGGCGTTTCAATTAGCCGTGGGCATCCCCCGAAAGTCTTATCCCTTTGCGAGGCGCATAATGCGCGCATAAATACGCCAACGTTCAATTAATTCGTCAGCGAGGAGTCCTGGCGATTACGAATTCGCCTTCGTTGTCATTGGAGATGGCCTGACTTTAAATGGGCAACCGAGAGCGTCGCAGGGTCGCTGTGCGACCACAGCACGGGCCGATCGATATCAAAACTCAGAGCAGCGTGTTTATCGATACTAAAAGGTTAAGAGGAGGGCCGGAGCAGTGGAGCAGTGCGTAGCGTATCCGACTACCGCGCGGAGAGCCTGGGTTCGAATCTCGGCCGGTTCGCCTCAGGTTTTTTTCAAGGTTGGCTTAGGTCTGGGCTAACAAGTATAAAATATCGAAAAGTTAGCAGAAAAGAGCAAAACATAGGGGCGAGAATGAGCAGGTTAGGTGGGTTCCAGTAAGCACTATGAAAAAATATAAATAAAAGGTTAGAGGTTGACAGATTTGTGGTGATAGGTGGAAGCAGAGTTGGCTTAACAAATATATAAAATATCGAAAAGTTACCAGAAAAGTGCAAAACAGGGGGCGAATGAGCAAGTGGCTCCCCAGTAAGCACTATAACAAAATATAAATAAATAAAAGGTTAGAGGTTGATAGATTTGTGGTGATAGGTGGGAGCAGAGTTGGCTTAACAAATATAAAATATCGAAAAGTTAGCAGAAAAGTGCAAAACAGGGGCGAATGAGCAAGTGACTCTCCAGTAAGCACTATAACAAAATATAAATAAATAAAAGGTTAGAGGTTGATAGATTTGTGGTGATAGGTGGGAGCAGAGTTGGCTTAACAAATATATAAAATATCGAAAAGTTACCAGAAAAGTGCAAAACAGGGGGCGAATGAGCAAGTGGCTCTCCAGTAAGCGCTATAAAAAAACATAAATAAATAAAAGGTTAGAGGTTGATAGACTTGTGGTGATAGGTGGAAAGCCAGAATCCTCCGTTTGGGCCAAGATGAGCAACCGAATGGCTCCCTGGCAAGACCGAAACGTCATTAAAGCACCACCGGCCTGGAATAACAGGAAGATTTGGCGTTGGATGACTCCAGATGGCCTAACAGCGCCCAGGAGACCCTATAAAATGATGTCAACGGTCAACACTGCGGTCTAAGGGGTCATCGTCTGAATTTAATGTCTGCGTTTACGCGGACAGGTGGCGCTCCGCGAACAGATGCGTGACGTAGTTCGACGCGGCCAATTGACTACCCATGGGTGGCCTCGCCACGGGGGTGAAATCCACCCTTAACGGGCTCCCTGGGACCGCGAAAACAGTCGTCGACTCGGTATTTAACACTTTGTATGCAGGGGGGAATGTAATCACAGTTCTATCCAGAGCTGTGATGACAGGGAGAATGAATGACCAATTTCCCTCGAATACAGTAAAGGCTGGATAAGACACGAAGAAAAGGATGGCAAGACCACTGGTGGAGCGATTTATTATTATTTGAATACTACTCTTATATTCTACGTGTACTATATCTTACCAAGGTGTGAAAAGTCATACAAGAGTTTAAAGAAATGGTTATTTCGAGATCACAGACGGACACTTCAATTTAATTTATATATATCGCTATATTATATTATAGATCGCTATTGTCTCATCGATACGTTTCGGCCGACTGCTGTCTTTCCTCGGACCTCCTTCTCTTTCGCTCTCTGTCCTTCCCTACGTTCGACGGCAAATGTAAACACAGAGTAGAAACTCTGCGCTAATTCACGCTTCATTGTCGGTCTAAATTTTCGTATCGACACGCTGCTGCAAATCTAGCGATAAAAGGCAAAAATAGAACGTATACTTAAAAATTGAACGCCTTGGCTCCCCTCCCATTCCACCCTATCTACGAAAATAAATACGTCGTCGAAAGTTTGTTACGAGTTGGGAGAGGGGGAAGTGACCAAACATCGTTGTCCAGTGAACCGTGCCGCTTCATCTTTTCCAAGAAACCGAACCGACGAACATTAATACCCGAGCGTATATATACCCGGCTTCCGAACGCCGAGAAACTTCGAGAAACTCCCTACCGCGGCGGTGCGAGGAGGGGTTCGCGAGAGGGCAACGAAAAGTCGATAGGACAAGCAGAAAGAAAAGTTACGGAGATAAAACGCGCGAGGCTACGAAACAAAATTCAGACTCTTGCGAAAGGAAGGTTGCAGTATGGAACGAGGGGTGTGGAAGTTCGGCGGGGGGGGGGGAAGGGGGGCGGTTGGAAGAGGAGCGGGGGGTTAGAAGAGGCATAAATCAGACGAGCACCCGAAGGTACCGCGGAATACAAAACAGAAGAAGGATAGACCGCCCCCTCCGCGGCCACCTTCTCTTGCTACCGGAGGATCTCAGAGCGGGACGACTATTTTCCAATAATTTACCCCGTCGGGCGGGGGGTGGTTGGGGTGGGGCTTGGGTGGCGGTTTTCCGGAAGGGGTTGGGCGGCCGGTGGTGGTGCGGTGCTCGAGCGCGCACAGGACTGACGCTATCGCGGTCATAAATACTGGGGAGCAGCCTCTGACGTCGCCCGGCGAGGGCCCGATATTATACTTTATCTCGAAACTAATTCCCCGCGACCAGATTTATTGCAAGAAAAGGGGTGAAAAAATACACTTTCTCATCCCCCTTCTTCTACCGACGCCACCTTCCCACCCGCCCTTCTGCACACCCCACCCCAACGATCCCATACACGCTCCTCGAGTTATCTGGCTGACGGAAAAATAACGAGTGGTTTCTTGCGTTCCATTCTCGTGGCCCTCCCCCTCACCCCCCCCCCAACCCCCCACCACCCTGTATACTTCAGGGTGTGTGTGTGTGTGTGTGTGTGTGTGTGTGTGTGTGTGTGTGTGTGTGTGT